ATCATCATCATCATCATCATCATCATCATCATCATCATCATCAATAATTACCCTTTGCACATGTTTCATGCCATGCAGGCCTAATGTTTTACACCCGCCTCAACCTACTTGGTACCCTTGTTAACGTTTGACCTTAACTAGTCCCTCATCTAACTGATCAAATCGTCCTTTACTCCTTTCACAAACAAGCAAACAAACAGCTCGGAAGACTTTCTCCAAGCTGAAGAATTATAGAAACTCTGCTTTTGCATTTTCCTGTGGAGAAGAAAAAAAAATAAAACCTTGCCTTACAGTGTCAAAGGTGTGCGCCCTCATCTCCTTTTATGAAGTCAGTTTATTGCTTCTTGTTGCGTTGGCATGCTGCTGACAGTTTTCTCGTGGACAAAATATTTGACAAAACAGCGCTTGTTTGGAAAGAATTTAAAAACACCTCTGTCTGTGCTGTCTGAAGAAATGTAATATACTTTTTTTCCCTTTTTTTCTTTTTACACAAATTTGCTCGGAGGTATAACGGTTAGATTATTTCTCAGGCATAACTTTCATTTTGGAACTGTTCCTATACCAAATGTCAAGACAAGATTGTCAGCCAGCGGTAATTCATCGATAAAGTGTTTGCTGGGACATGACATATATTCAGGTTTTTGCACTTTAAAAAAGGGAAAAAGTTTGCATTAGAAAGCAGGAAGGTGGCAAAAACACATCTAACTTTTACCTCGGATGCTGGAACGTGACTGTTGCTCAAAGCCACTTTAAAGTTTTATTTTAATTTCTTGTTTACTTTCATTTTTTATTTATGGTAGGTGACATTTTGGCATATAACTGCTTGTTAGGGATAAGACAACAACGTGTTTTGAGTTAAAATACAGCTTTATACTAAATTAAACACACAAAGCTCAGTGTTTGTTTTCAGGTACTACTTTCCATCATGAGTACAGGTGGGACACCCGTGGTGCATATTATGCAGTGATTAACACAGCAGCTAGAGGTCACTTCACTTTAAAACATCACCATGTACTCTAGGACGTAATATTAAAAACTGCTGTGTTGTATTTTAATTTAAACGATGTTAAATTACCTTAAAATGCATCGTGGTGTAATGTAATAAAGTGCTGTTACATACAGTCATGTGAAAAATACTTTTTACAGGACCCTGTGCAACCCTTTGAAA